AATTAGTTTTATATTTTAAATATAAATGTAATATTATTTTTTTCCGTAATAAATATAATAATTTAAAGAAATTAAAAAGAAAATTACAAAATACATTTATAGGAGGCCGTCGATTCTACATTAAAATATTCTATTTTTTGCAGGAAAATTAGCAAAATTATTTCGTTGTTAATAGTATTAATTTTGAAAATTGAGGAAATTTTATAAAATTATTCATTCCATTTTTAAATTATTCCATATTTGATATTATTAAATTGAAATATTGAGGAAATCTCGCGGAATAATTTAATTTTCCAATTTCAAAATTACAAATAAATAAATAAATATATAAAGAAATAAATTAATTATTAAATAATTATAATTATATTATTTAATATATATAATAATTTATTAATTAAATTATATTATATTAATTATATTATATTTTATTAATTATATTATAATTATAATAATTATTATTATCATAACTTCAACTATATCACAATATATTAAACTACACTAACTAAACTACAACACATTACAATTATAAATACAATTTAATTATAACTATATTTTATTATTTATTATTACATTAATTATATTATATCAAATAAATTATTATATTGCACTACTTATATCACATTACATTACAACTACAATTATATTATAATTACAACTACCACTAAATTACATTATATAACATTCCACTACTTCCTTTCCACTACACTATAATTGAAATGTCACTATAATTATAATTATACTACACTAAATTATACTACATTATACCAAACTATAATACACAACACTACAATACATAACAATACATTGCATTAATTATACCATATCAAAATTATAATTTTAATTATATTAATTATAATTATTATGTAATTAATTATATTATATTATAATTATAATTTTATTATATTATAATTATAATAAGACCTAGAATTACATTATACATTACATCCAATATTTATGATGATGGGACCATTGCAAATACTAAAATTATTTCAAAAAATAAAATTCCAATCTCTTGTCGAACCATCAATGAATTTATTCTGCCATCCATAATTCAGAATAATTATTTTTTCCTATAAATTTCCTATATTTGAAATTTCCCACCGCCTTATATGGTATTATTAATATTATAAAATAATATAATATAATATATAATTTATAAAATTTATTTTAAACAATATTTTAATTACCGAAAATATTCCAAATTCAATATATATATATTATTTTATATTCTTAATTTTCAAAATTTCATGAATCCAATATTTGATTTAAAAATAATAGATAATGAAATTAAATTCAGATCTAAATAAGGAAAAATAATATTTCTAATTATTCTATCGTGATGATATTTATCTTCAAATATTATTTTTTGATGATAACGGAGGATTTTTTATATATTATTTTTTTCTGATTTTGAATGGGTTAAGATAATTTTTAATATTTTTCGAATAACCTATAATTTCATAAATATTATAATTCTAATTATTTGATATTAACCTAATAATT